GTCTTGTTCGGTGTATAGCAGAGACTATTGTGAATGGGCAATGCATTAAATCATACAAACAAAGTCCATTGAGCCCAATTCCTCATTGGGGTCAATGGCACCACCAGCTCATGCTAGTCAAGACAACCGTGCTCAATCCGGGTTCCGTGTATGTGTCTTTACCAATATGGGATCCTGACACTACAAATATGGAATAAGTCAATTACTGTCCATTCAGTAGGATACCCGGAAGATGGCATCTACAAGGACCTATCTCAAATACCGGTGAGTAGAGAGGACCTCGTAGAAGAACTGGGTGGAGAAAACAGCTTGCTTTGAGTGATCAACTAATTCAGTTCAAACAGAGTGGCAGGATAAACAAACACAGGGCTACCATGGGGGCCCCTGATTTCAAAAGGGCAAACTGAAGGGAATTAGTTCGGGACGTGGACTGGCCCGAAGAACTCGAGGATCTGAATGTAGGTGAGGCTGGGAATGACTTTAAGTCAAAGTTGCAGAAGCTCTCGGAAGCCTGGGATGCAGGCGAACAATGTAGGGCCCAGATATGCCACCAATACGTGTTGGTCTTTCAGCCACGCAAACATGGAGGGTACCACGTGTGGCTTCTTCTACCACTGGGGGGGGCAGCAAGACGTGTCAGCACATGGTTTTTGACATCGCAACTCCAGTGGGTCGCCATGACGGCCAGGACGAGTACAATGAGACAGAGGAGCCAGCTGGTCCTTATGCCAGCCTTAAGAAGCTTAAAAAGTGGTGAGGCCTAGTAGTGAGGGTGACCTGTAGTACGGAGGGGCAGTCCTGTTAACCAATATATGCTGGCTAGTGTAGATACAGCTACAGCGATAGATAGACAGATATAGATCCCTTGTTAATAATGGGTGCTTTACGCACTATATCTATAGATACAGATTAGCATGCATCATGCACAAATAGCATTAAGCACAAACATTACAGCAGTTGCGTAACCTAAACTGGCCTCCACCTTTCCTGTGACCCTGCTCACCTGCGCGAAGGATCCCACAGCTCCGTGCGTTAGCTGAAGTTCGCTTTGGCTGAAGGAGACAGGAGAGCTGCCAGGCTTAGGGCGGAGGAGTATTGTATCATAGCAGCAGGTCGGGAGCTATTCTCACAGGCCTGCACCGGAGTGGCCCATAGGAAGAGGGCAAGACACCGATTGTTCTACCCTTGTGCAGACCTAGGGGGCTCAGCTGCAATGCAGGTGAGTGGAACGCAGAGGTCAGGGGGACCCCATGGTACCAGGGAAAAAAGGGGGAAAGCGAAGGGTTAACTCTACGTTTGATGGGTGCAAACTGTACTTTGTACCTGTAAACAGGACGAGTATAAATAGATTGTTACAAGGGTGGAACTCTGGAAATCCCCCTTTTTTATAAGGTAAATGTAACAATGTGATGGGATCGTATTGAACATTTCCCCTGTTTCCTTATGGGCTTAGCGCAATAAAGCTAACCGCCATTGGTTATGTGCTCTCTGGGCTACATTTCATAACGACCCAAGGGGTGGTCACGTCACTGACTATCAGCGGTACCAGTAGCAGTCTGTGATAGCCCATAATCAGACATTCGGGGATAAAAAACTTACTTGTACTGTCACGACTCCAAATTTCTGCTCTTCCTCGTGTGTCACGCAGTGGCTATTCCTGGCTACTAACGCCTCTTCCCGTTTAGGGAGTGATCGTTTTACCTGCATTCATTGTGCATTGCCACTTACGGAGTTTGCTAAAACAGTATAAGTCTCGGGTCAATACTCTTACCTCTGCGTTACAGATCACTTTGGTAAAATAATATAAAATCGTTATTAAATTAAATATTTAATAATAATCACAGCACAAAACAGGGTCCTGTTAGCTAATCCATATACACAGGGGTGGCAGGTTTGTAGAAATTTTGGTGGTGCCCACATTACACCCTCCAACTCTGCCCCCCACCTGCCTAAGGCTCTGGGAGGGAGTTTGGGTGCGGGGAGGAGGTCTGGGGATTCGGGTGCAGGAGGGGTGCAGGGTGCATGCTCTGGGAGGGAGTTTGGGTGCAAAAGGGGTGAGAGGTTGGGCTCTGGGAGGGAGTTTGGGTGGGGGGAGGGGGTCTGGGGTCCAGGCTCTGGGATGGACTTTGGGTGCTGGGTGCAGGCTCTGGGCTGGGGCAAGGGGTGGGGGTGCAGGAGGGGGTGAGGGGTGCAGGCTCTGAGAGGGAGTTTGGGGGCAGGAGAGGGTGTGTGTGGGGGGGTGCAGGCTCTGGGAGGGAGTTTGGGGGCTGGAGAGGGGGTGTGTGTGTGGGGGGGTGCAGGCTCTGGGAGGGAGTTTGGGGGCAGGAGAGGGTGTGTGTGTGGGGGTGCAGGCTCTGGGAGGGAGTTTGGGGGCTGGAGAGGGTGTGTGTGGGGGGGTGCAGGCTCTGGGAGGGAGTTTGGGGGCTGGAGAGGGTGTGTGTGTGGGGGGTGCAGGCTCTGGGAGGGAGTTTGGGGGCTGGAGAGGGTGTGTGTGGGGGGTGCAGGCTCTGGGAGGGAGTTGGGGTGCAGGCTCTGGGCTGGGGGTGAGGGTGTAGGAGGGGGTGAGGGGTGCAGGCTCTGGGAGGTAGTTTGTGGGTGGGAGGGGGTGCAGGCTCTGGGAGGGAGTTGGGGGTGGGAGGAGGTGCGGAGGGAGGGGTTTGGGGTGTGGCTGGGGATGAGAGGTTTGGGATGTGGGAGGGGGCTCAGGGCTAGGGCAGAGGGTTGGGGTGTGGGGTGAGGGCTGTGGGGTGGGGCTGGGGATGAGGGGTTCATGATGCAGGAGGGGGCTCAGGGCTGGGGCAGAGGGTGGGGGCACAGGGGGGTGAGGGCTCCGGCTGGGGCTGGGGATGAGGAGTTTGGGGTGTTGGAGAGGCTCAGAGTTGGGGCAGAGGGTTGGGGGTGCAGGCTCTGGGGTGGGGCGGGGCTGAGGATGACTTTGGGGTGCAGGCAGGCTGCCCCAGGGCTGGGGCCAGAGAGGAGGACTCCCCCCAGCCCTCTCCCCAACGGCAGCAGTCACCTCTGGGGGAGGGGCCCCCCTCACCCCCCCCAGCAGCACCCTCACCCCACACCACTGTCACTGCATGTGCTCCTAGGGCCCCTCTCAGGTCCAGGAAGCCCCCTCGCCTCCCCTGTGGGGGCTGCCGGTTTGGGGGGGCTGCCATCACACGTGGCCTCCTCCCCTGCTGCTGCCCCTCACTGTAGCCTCACTGGGGGTGAGGGATGGGGCTGCCCCTTGCCCGGCGTGGGGCAGGAGCGGTGACTGCGGGGGGCGGGGCGGGGCCCTGTGCTGGGGGAGGGTCCCACCGGACAAGGGAAGGGTCCCAGGCGGAGGGGCGGGGTTCGGCTCAGCCTGCCCCGACATTGGAGGATGGGGGGCACGGGAACCCTGCGGCCGCAGTTGATGCCGGGAGCCGGCAGAGCCGAGAGGCAGGGACGCCCAGGGCCCCGGGGAAGGTGCGCAGGGGCAGCAATTGGGGGCCGGGGGACACTCGGGGGAGGCGCGTGGGGGCGGCAGACGGGGCCGGGAGAGAGACCCGGCCCCGAACATTGGTGGAGCCGGGCCCCCAGGCCCTGAATATTGCTGGAGCCCAGGCACCATGAGCCCATACAACTCGCCGCCCCTGCATATAGGTTAGACATACGCGCACTGTGTTAATAGTCTGCTATACCCAGCGCCAGAGCAGTTATGTGAATGGGATTATATTATGTCTTTCCACAGTGCTGTTCACTGGGGTGTCCCACAACGCCTCGGACCGGGACAACTCCGCATTCGGCATAAGTGGGTCAGGAAAGAGTCCAAGCAAGAGACATTTGTCTGATGTCCCAGCACAGCCAACTTTAAGTGCAACTGGCTTAAAATGCAGTGTCCGTAGCGGAGATAAGGAAAGGATCTTAGGAGGCGAGTCTGGGCTTTCTCGCTTGTTAGAAACCCTGCTACACCTGGAAGTGGTTTGGGGAGTGTATTTTTGAGCCACCCCTTCTGTGTCAGGCAAATGGAAAACGGTGGGAGAAACAAGCGTCCCAGAAAGATCAGGGTGGTATAAACTCTTTCCTTTCTGTATTGGCCTATTTTGTCTTCGACAATAAAATTGACTGAGTTTGGTTATTGGGTCTCGTGAACATTTTTCGTAACACACCAGCCATATCACTCCACTGGATTTTCCTTCTGGAAGGGAGTTTCTTTGACTCACACCCTATCAAGGGAAAGCGTTGGAAGGTCATTTGGGACGAATGCTGGCAGAATTCCACCGCCTAGAGAGGAATCCAAGCCACCGTCTCTTCAGTGTCTAGAGGGTGAGGTAAAGCATGTCTTCTTTCTGTATTCTTTGTAGCGCGATATTCATTTGATTAATAATTTTTTATTTAATAATTACACTTTTACATAATAGGTTTTAATCTGCAATCATTAGCAAATTCAAACATGCAACAAATTGGAGACGCTGACGTGACTGTCAGTAACAGGATCATTTGGATCTGGATTCCCTGGCCTAGTGACGGATGTTTTCCATTTGGACCTGGATTACCTGGGCTAAGGACATATGTTTTCCAATAGAGGCTAGGAACAGCATAAACATGTTTTATTCAACTGTTACAAAGCCTGGGTGAAGAGCTCGCTGTCGTGTCTGTCAGGTGCGGTGGGGTGGGGTGGGGAAGAATACAAAAAACAATCAGAAAGTCTTTAAATCGGTTAAATAAAATAAGAAAAAAGCTGGCCAGCAATGGGAAAACACTAGAGATTTTTATAATAAACGATGTTATTAATGAAGGGGCTGCTCTGTCTCATAACGAGCAATGAATAAAGCAGCCCTTGGAAATCTGTTTGTCAATGCGTTAAAAAGGAAGCAGAGGGGAAAAGATAAAGCGCACACGACGAATCAGGAGCCTCTTTCGTTTGCGCAGGTGGCAAAATGTAACAGTAACTTTGTGCCGGCTCTCGGTGTACAGCACAACGCGAGAACAAAGATACAAAGGCAAACTGCCAAAACCAGGCTCTTGCTGGCCGGCAGGAAATCACAGGAAATCATGCAACAGCCAGAGGGGGATTAAAGGAGCAAAATAGAGAATTAAAGCAACAAAGAGAGGGGGTGAGTAAATGAAATACCTCCTTGTCTTGTCAGGCACAGGAGTAGGAGAATTTCATGCACAGAGCTGTCGGCAAGCTAAAGAGAAGGGACAGGTCAGATTGTTCAGAACAGTCTCCAATCCCATTTCCCCCACCTCTGATGGTTTTTTCTCTCTCTTAAACTTATTTGTAGCTACAGTTTATGCAGCTGCTTCCTCTCTGCTCCCCTTGCTGGCTTTTCTCCTTCTGTGGGTTGTGAAATGCCCAGACAAATTCCTGCCTTTCTAAACTTCTTTAATGGGTACCCATTTCGCTTCTCTATTCCTACTGTGTCTTATATGATTTCTCTCACCTTAAAGTGTTTTTATGTAAGGACGGGGAAGAGGGAATCCTTCAAATTCTTTCCTCTGTAGCATGTTTCTGACTACAGAACTGTTACTGGTTTATTTTGTTATTTCAAATAAAGAAAAAACCCACCTGTGTTAATTTGGTTCACTTCTAGATTTTGGGAATGCGTGTTTGATTTGCAAAGCCTTCTCTTGTCTCACTCCCTCTGTTTTTAAAGAAAAGCTCACAGGTCTGATTTTGCAAAGAGTTAAAGAGGGGAGGAAGGAGAGAATAAATCGTTTGATGTGAATGGTAAACCCTACGGGTGTGACACTCAGCCCTGTAAAACCACAATGCTTCCTTTGTAAAAATACAGTGTCATCCAAAATAGGAAATCAGGTGCAAATAAAAATAAAATAAAATAATAATTCACAAAGGACCAAAATGCTAAAAATAAAAGGGCTTAAGTAAGTCCAGTAAAACTAATGATTTTAACTTTTTCAAGAATTGTCGCTCCCAGCTGTGCCGCCTGATTTCACCACTAGGGGTCACTCTAAGACTAAGCAGCCCCACCCACTAGAATTAAAATTTTCCCCAACAAAATAAAAAATCTCCAAAGACTTTGGTCTCTGGTTTGTTTTATTCAGTGGAACAAAATAAAGGGGAAGCGAATCCATCTGGGAGCGCGGAGCCCCTGGGAGGGGACAGTGGCTGCGGAGAGGAGCAGACGCAGGCAGAAAGGGTGTTATTCCGTGCGGTGTGGCCACTGCATGGGTGGGGGCTCAGGAGAGGAGCTGCGTGAGGAGGAGCCCAGCGAGGGCAGGGATGAGGAGCCCGGCTGGGCCCCATGCTGTGCCAGGTGCTTTGCATTTGAGAGTTAGATCCGTACTGACGCCTGCAAAGGACCCCGAACCCTCTGTTTCATTTGCACAGAAAGCCTCAGTAGCACAGCCCTTCATGGTCACCGGTGTGACTGTTCCACCTGTGTGGGAAGGAAAAGCAGGTGACGGGTGTCAGGGAGCAAATCCCCTCCTTGAAAGGTTTGGGACACAATGGCCGCTCCTGCCTCTCCTCTGCTCCTCAGAGCTCATTCCAGGTCCCTCACAGCCTCCATCTCCCCATCTCCTCCGCTCTCCACAGCCTGTCTGGCCCTGGATGGTCTCCCCCACTTCTCCTCTGCTTGGACCCAGACTCACTCTGTCTCCTTGAGCGAGTCACGGGCAGCTCCGATCTAGATCCCACCCAGATTGGAGCAGGCCTGTATTAGCCACAACATTCACTTAGTAAAGCAGCAGCTCACTGCTAAGAGGTTTTGTGGCACCGTGATGGGACTCTGCAATCTAGGTTCAGTTCCCAGCTCTGCCACAGTCTTCCCGTGTGACCTTAGGCACGTCTCCTTGTTTTTCTGTGCCTCAGTTTCCCCATCTGTGAAATGGGTAGAATGCTTCTTCTGCCCATTTGGATTGCAAGCTCTTTGATGCAAGAACTGTCACTATGAACTTGTTCAGTGCCTGGCACAATGAGGCTCTCCCATTTCTGACTGGGTCTGTGCAGCACCTGACACCCCAGGGGATCCCAACACTCAGACATGCCCTACCACAACGAGCTTACAGATTAAACTTTATGTGGGCAAAAGGTGGGCGTGGAAGCAGAGACAAAGAAAGGGGAAGCCACTGGCTCAAGGTCACACAGGAGACAGCACTGGGAATAGGACCCAGGTGTCCTGATGTCCAGCTGATATCTTTACCCAGCAGACCCCCACAGCATCCTGTCCTAACGTAGGAGTTTGGGACAGAGGGGAGACTTGGGGTCCAGAGGCCTGTACTGAACCATGTGCCAGCCATTGATGGACTCTTGGCACAGCAAGTGGTAAGTGGTTTTCCCCGGGGAATCTCTAGGGTGAGGTTAATACCCATTCCCCAGCCCCGGTTGCTCCAGAAACAGCCCTGCGAAGCTATGCCAGGAAGGGGGCACCTTTGTCTGCTGATCCCCTGGGACATGAGGCCAAGACGAAAGGTCCAAGTTGTAGGAAGGAACGACTGAGCTAGTCATCAGAGCTCTGAGACTGCTATTAACTTGTAACAACCACGAAACCCTAGTCATAGTGGTTGACCCTAGCAGAGCCCGAGGCTGGAGGTGGGGTGACCTCAGGGAAAGTTTCCAGCTTCCAGGTCCTTTCATTGTTTTCAACCATTGGCTTCTCTGCAGTGCTCTCTCCTTCAACATGAAGGTGCTTGCTTAGGACGCGCTGTGGGGTAGCTCACAGCTGTGGGACGTGATGCTGTTCAACCCCCCTGCGGAGAATGCACCCACGCTGGCCTGTTGAGCAGTCTGGCTTGCTGGGGCTATCACAGTACTGGCAGGGGACTGTGTCGCCTTAAAGAAAAGGCAGCCAGTCCAACCCCCTCGATGATGATGAGTGGCCATTTCAGACTGGTTTGCCCCTGAAGGAAGGGGCTAGATGAAGACTGTCACTGAGGTGAGGTGGGCTTAGGGAATTGGGGTTCCCCAGAGAGGGGAGGACCCCTGAGTGTGGGGCACTGCTGCAGTGCAGTACCCAAGAGAAGGGGCACCATGGACAGGGAGGGACACGGGGCCTGAAGTGAAGCATGGTGGAGATTTGGAAGAAGCCGGTGATGGCAGGAGAGACACCGGCCAGTGGAGGGTGCCCCAGAGCTGGACCTGAGCTAATTCCCAGGTGTAACCAGCAGGAGGCACCGCGGCAGGGAGTCTCGCCTTGCTACACCCCTGGTCAGCAGGGTTAAAGACACAGGTGTCCCCCCAAGGGAAGTGAGGGCTGAGGAGCCAGGAGCCCAGTGTGGGAGCCCTGAGGAACCCTGGCAGGGGAAGACAAGTGCAGTTTCCTTGAACTGTGAACGACAAAGGAAAAATAACCCAAAAATAAATGAACAGAAGTTACCCATTGTTGTAGTCCCAGCAAGCTCGACACATCGGGTCTCAGCTCCAGTACAATCTATGATCTCTTCATTGCACTTAGCAGAAAGCATACCAACGCAGGCTGGGCAGCTCCGGCCATTGGGTTTGGTGTCGGCCGGGGGCACTGGGAAGAAGCGGAGCAAACGCAGTCAGCTCGGGGGACGAGCCCCAGGACGGGTCGGGGCCGGGAAAGCAGCTGGGGGCTGCACAGCTCAGCCCCGGGCCCCCCCCCCCAGGGGGCGCTGTAGCTACGGGGATGCCAGCGGGGGAGGGGTTTGCAGCAGGGAGCCCTGGATCCCGCCCCGGGTGGGGCCAGCTGGGTTCACACCTGGTGGGAGCCTAGAGCCCCGCCCACTCAACTCCACCCAGCCAGGGGCTCAGTCGTAGTCCATGGGGCGCCCCCTGCAGGGCGGGAGGACCAGGCCCGGGACGTTATCGTGGGGCAGGTTCCAGGCAGCCGGAGGTGCAGGGGATGGGGCAGGAGAGGCGGAGATGGGGAGAGGTACCTGTCACAGTGGTTGTTCTGCAGGCGTCTCCCATGCAGCAGGCGATGCCCACCTTCATGGTCAGTCCATTCCCAAAATTCATAGTGAGGGGGTCACCTTTACAACTTCCGGATGTCACACAGCCCTTGGCAATCACCTGTTGCTTCATTCCCACTGCACAGGAGAAAATGTAGATTTATTCCCCTTCAACTCCCACCCCATCAATGCCCTCTGCACAGTGATGGCCCTGTGACATTATCCTACCTCTACCCTTGGGGAAACTGAGGCATGGAAAAGGAGAAGGAAATTCTGAAGGCACTCAAGCATAAAATTGCAGAGCTACTCGCTGTGGTAGGTAACCTATCGTTTAAACCAGCCTCTGGACCAAATGGTCGAGGGTAGCTAATGTGATGGTGATTTTTAAAGAGGCCCTAGAATAGTAATGCCGGAACTAGAGGGGGTCAGAGCCCTCCCAATTTTGAAAGAGGACGGACGTGGAACATCCACTTTTCACTGCGGTGGATCTTGCCTCCTTCCCCTCCTCTTCCCCGCAAGGGCCCACCCTCCGACCAGGCCAGCACCCTGCTGGAGCCCGGCCAGGGAGCCCAGGCTGTTTGGGGAGCAGTGCGGACCCTCCACCTGCCCGTAGGGCAGGGGCCCCAAGAGGAGTTCCTGGCCTGTCTCCCTGCCTCCCAAGCTCCCCACCCGGCCCAGGGCAGGTGGAGATGGAGGGTCCACGACTCTGCGCTGGCTCCCCACATCTGATCATGTGGGTCCCCCCAACCTGACTCTGGCCAGGGGGAGGTCTCAAAGCCACAGCCTGGCATGGTAAGAGTCACAGGGGCAGCTGTGGGGAGCCTCCCTCTGCCTTGGTGTGGGGCCCAGCTGCTCTCAGCCCCACCCCACCCTGGGTGGGGGTGGAAGGCTTCCCAGCTCCACTCCAGGTTCTGGCTTGTCTGGAAGCAGGGCCTCTAGGGGAAAAGGGGAGTGGGCCCTTGCGGGGGAGGGGTTGGGGTGGGACCTCAGGGGGCAGGGCCTCCCACTTTTGGGAGGGCTCTGGTGCCTTTGCTCCAGAAGCAATCCTGGCAATACAAGCTGTCAAGTCTGATTTCAGTACCAGGAAAACTGGATGAAACTATAGTAAAGAACAGAATTAGCTGAAAAATAGATGAGTACAGTATGTTGGGGAAGAGTCAACATGGCTTTTGTAAAGGAAAATCACGCCTCACCAATCTATTAGAATTCTTTAATGGGGTTGTGACACGACACCCCCTATTCATCATGGGGGCATGATTATGACAGAATTATGATGCAATTTGTACAAGATGAGTCACATTAAGAGTCATTGGGAAAGTTATGATTTGCTGAATGTGATTATCCTCTTTTGGGGCATGTGTTGTTTTTGTATCTGAAGTTATGAATATTGACTATGTACCTGGATTTTATATGTGCTTACTCTGTGTAACACCCACAGCTGGCCTTTCAGGTACAACAATATAGAAACTCGACAGTGCTGATGGACCATCAGCAAAGACAAGAACTATGGAAGAGCTTAGCCTTCCTGTAGATGTTTCAGCAAGCCTGTAAATAATGGCTGCCATGACTCAGCAAGGCCATGTGACCAGATCACATGACATGGAACTCCATTTTGGGTACCTGTATTTTTCTGCAAACTGGGCTGGGAATGGCATTTGGAACAAAGGGTTCCTGACATATATTAAAGCTATATAAGGTGGGGTGTGAAATCCCACCTTATATAGCTTTGAATGAAGAAGGAAAAACAATAACAAAAAATGTGGAAATGGCAGAGGCGCTTAATGACTTCTTTGTTTCGGTTTTCACCAAGGAGGTTGGTGGTGTCTGGATGCCTAACAAAGGGAAGGCCAGTGAAAACGAGGTAGGTTCAGATGCTGAAATAGCGAAAGAACAAGTTAAAAATGACTTGGACAAGTTCGATGTCTTCAAGTCACCAGGGCCTGATGAAACGCGTCCTGGAACACTGAAGGAGCTGACTGAGGAGATATCTGAGGCATTCGCTATTATCTTTGAATAGTCATGGAAAACAGGGGAAATTCCAGAAGACTGGAAAAGAGCACATAAAGTGCTTGTGACGATGTGACGCAGCAGGCAGGGGGGAGTGTTGACCTGGGAATGTGCCTTGGGGATGGGAGACCTGAGAGCCTGTCACCTGAGCCAGGAGGGGGAGGGGGAGGTGACACATCTGCCCGGGAATATGAACAGAGACTGCAGGAGGGAGCCTGCTGGGGGGTTAGTTTCAGTTTGGTGCTGGGTGGAGGAACGCAGGGAACCCCAGGGCTGGGGTCTAAGCTCCCTGCTCCCCCAGAAGGACTTGACTGAGGGGTCCTGGTTGTACCCACAAGCTCTGCTTGAGACTGTGTTCCTGTGGTCCAATAAACCTTCCGTTTTACGGGCTGGCTGAGAGTCTCAGTGAATCCCAGGAAGAAGGGTGCAGGGCCTGGACTCCCCCACACTCCGTGACAATGCTCATTAATAAAAAGGGAAATAAGGGCAACCTGGGCAATTACAGACCAGTCAGCTTAATTTCTGTACCAGGGAAGATAATGGAGCAAATAATTAAGGAATCAATTTGCAAACACCTGGAAGATAATAAGGTGATAAGTAATAGCCAGCATGGATTTGTCAGGAACAAATCATGTCAAACCAACCTGATAGCTTTCTCTGACAGGGTAACAAGCCTTGTGGACAGGGGGGAAGTGGTAGATGTGGTATATCTAGACTTTAGTAAGGCTTTTGATACAGTCTCGAATGACCTTCTCATAAACAAATTCGGGAAATACAACCTAGATGGAGCTATTGTAAGGTGGGTGCATAACTGGTTGGATAACCATTCCCAGAGAGTAGTTATCAATGGTTCACAGTCATGCTGGGAGGGCTTAATGAGTGGGGTTCCTCAGGGATCAGTTCTGGGTCCGGTTTTTTTAAATGTCTTCATCAATGATGTAGATCATGGCATCGAGAGTACACTTATTAAGTTTGTGGACGATACCAAGCTGGGAGGGGTTGTAAGTGCTTTGGAGGATAGGATGAAAATTCAAAATGATCTGGACAAACGGGAGAAATGGTCTGAAGTAAATAGGATGAAATTCAATAAGGACAAATGCAAAGTACTCCACTTAGGAAGGAACAATCAATTGTACACATACAACATGGGAAATGACTGCCTAGGAAGGAGTACTGCGGAAAGGGATCTAGGGGTCATAGTGGACCACAAGCTAAATGTGAGTCAACAGGGTAACACTGTTGCAAATACAAAAAAAGCAAACATCATTCTGGGATGTATTAGCAGGAGTGTTGAAAGCAAGACACAAGAAGTAATTCTTCCGCTCTACTCCACGCTGATTAGGCCTCAACTGGAGTGTTGTGTCCAGTTCTGGGTGCCACATTTCAAGAGAGATGTGGACAAATTGGAGAAGGTCGAGAGAAGAGCAACAAAAATGATCATAGGTCTAGAAAACATGACCTATGAGGGAAGATTGAAAGAACTGGGTTTGTTTAGTCTGGAAAAGAGAAGACTGAGAGGGGACATGATAACAGTTTTCAAGTACCCAAAGGGTTGTCACAAGATGGAGGAGAAAAAATATTGTCCTTCACCTCTGAGGACAAGACAAGAAGCAATGGGCTTAAATTGCAGCAAGGGCAGTTTAGGTTGGACATTAGGAAAACATTCCTAACTGTCAGGGTGGTTAAGCCCTGGAATAAATTGCCTGGGGAGGTTGTGGAATCTCCATCACTGGAGATTTTTAAGAGCAGGTTAGACAAACACCTGTCAGGGATGGTCTAGATGATGCTGGTCCTGCCATGAGTGCAGAGGACTGGATTTGATGACCTCTCGAGATCCCTTCCAGTCCTATGATTCTTTGATCATCGAGGGGGCCTCCCTTCCCACCCGAGAGAACTCTGGAAACACATGAGAAGCAAAGACTGAACTGGGGGAAGTGCTGGTTCCAGGCTAAAAGGATTTCTAACCCGTCTATGGGAACATGATGGACTGCTGGTATCATCAGCTCGGGTGAGAAATTGCTAATTTGTATCCAATCTATCTACTATATTAGGGTAGTCTGCGGTTTTGTTCATTTGCTAGGTAATCTGCTTTGAGCTGTTTGCTGTCACTTATCACTTAAAATCCATCTTTTGTAGTTAATAAACTTGTTTTTTGCTTTATCTAAACCAGTGTGACTTTGAGTGAAGTGTCTGGAGAAAAATCTCAGCTTGGTCAACACAGGCTTGTTGCATATCCCTCTCCACATTGAGGGAGGGGTGAACTGGGTAATAAATTCATCCTGTTCAGGGTTTTGCCCAGGGCAGGACAGTACACTTCTGGGGTTCTAGGCTGGGGAGCTTGGGGTTATTTTGGCTGTAGCCTCTCTATTGTTGGTTCATGCAGTGGCTGATCATAGTCTACATGCAACTGCAGCTGGGTGTATCCCTGCCTGTGAGAATACTGGTGTAAGTGTAGGACCGGGAGTGGTCTGCATCTTGTCATAGCAGCACAGGGTGAGAGGGAGCCCAGGCTGGTGAGTCAGAGGGCTCAGTCCTAGCCCAGTTCAAGTAGCACTCCGGGGTACAACCCATCACCGGGGTCAACAAGCACTCGGACAAGGGGGATCCAGTGGCTATAGAGTACTTTGACTTTCAGACAGCCTTTCACAAGGTCCCTCGTGAAAGACTCGCAAGCAAAATAAGGTGTCACGGGTTAAGAGGGAAGGTCCTCTCCTGGACTGGTAACTGGTTAAAACACAGGACACAAAGGGCAGGAATAAATGGTCCATTTTTACAGTGGAGAGAAGTCCCACAAAGCAATTTAGTCACCTAACTGCCACCTTAGATACCAAAATCCAACATTTCAATCCTCAAGCTCCCAGCTCAGCTGCTGCCTGACCCTGTAATCGCCTAAACTCCCTAGGTCCCTAAGTTTCTGCTGATGGGTAACCACACAGCTGCCTAAATCCTGACACCCGGCACCTAGCTCATGGTTAGGCCTCAGCAGGACCACACAGTAGGCATTCCCCTGCCTATCTCAGGTATGGTGTCTAATCCAGGAGGCAGCCTCTGAGAAGGGAGACGTGGTTGGGCCCCCCACAAAACACAGCTGGAGGAGCTGGTATTTCTGATGTCCCCCGACCCCGTCTTATCCCCAATAGTCCAATGGCCAGAGAGCTCCCCCAGTGTATGTCAAAGTCCCACGTAAACTAGACCCTGACTTTGACCAAATAGTTCCATCGATGATGACTGAAATTTACAGATTGGCAAAGTAGCAAAAATGCTGCTTGAGAATATATCAGAGTTTGATTTAAGGCTATTTCCTTTGTATAACTTGACACATGATGTTGAGAGGTTTTGCTTTAACGGTTACAAAGATTTACCTTATTGCATCTCGACACCTATTGTCATTAAATAATTATTGTCTGAAACCCCCGTGCCATCATTTTCCTCAATTGAGAAAACTAGAATGGATAGAAAAGCTCAATAATAAACATGTTCAAAATGAGAAGAAAGGTAAAAATCAAATTCTCCCAAGAAGCTGAAATATTTAATATGAAATGGAATAGCAGCAAGAAGAAGGCTCGAGAGAGACCCGCTCCATAATCCAGTGGAAGGGGGAATTTGAAACTGGGTCTCCCACCTCCAGGTCGTGTGTCCCAGCTGCTGGTGTCACAAGGAAGGGCTGACCAGCTTCAAATGCCTGACTCCCAGCAAGGGGTTCCCAGGTGTGGATCCCAGCCAGAGTTGGGCACATCTGTGCAGCCGGGACTTAGATACTGAACTCTGGGAGGAAGGGGTTTAGGCCACGCCCCTCACCTCAGCATTTCCTATTGGCTGGATTAGGCAACTGCCCGCTCAGCATGCTGGCTTTTCTGGATCCCGTGCACCGGACAGGGAGCCTGGGCCCCTCACCGATGGTCTGTGGAGACCACTGAGGGTTCGGCATCGCAATACTGAGCCTAAGTCCCCTTGCGGGAGCTAGCCCACAGGGTCTGGCCTAGAACCTAGGTGTTCTGGTTCCCAGTCAATCCCTGCTCAGACCCATGCACCCCACTTCCTTTCCAGAGCTGGGATTAGGAGAGGACCCAGGCGTCCTAGCTCCCCAGCCTGTTCACTGAGCCAGGTTGGTTAGGGTCCGTATCACCTACCCAATGTGACTTCTGTCAGAGTGATGCCACAAGAGTCAATTCCAGCGGCGCAGGTCTGTAGGTCGCCCGTGCAGCTGGTTCCTGGCCCTTCGCAAACCTCACACTGCAGACAGGCCCCTAGAGATGGAGAGAGAACATAAGCCACCTGGATTTGTCCCTCCCTCGCCTTCCCCTGGGTTTGATCGACACCAGGTGGGGATCTGGCCCCACTGAGTCCAGTGCAGCTACGGCGACAGACCCCAGCGGGGATGAGACAGAAATCTAGTTCCCAGCGTCTTGCGCTCTCCTTATTCAGATTCAAATCTGGTTCCTTCCAGGCAAACTTGCAGCGGAAGATCCTCTTTCCAAAATCTCCGTGTTTATTGGCCAGCTGGGAAATGTAACCAATCAGGGCACGTTTTCAGGGATTCCAACTCCAACCATTGCCTCCCAGCTCCAGAATTGTTTCACACATTGCCCCAGGGACTTGGGACTTCCAGGCATCTCCTCAGGAGCTGTTTCCATTCAGACCTGGCCCCTGTTATTCTGCTCCTTCTCTTTGGTTCTTTAATAAACCATTTTGTAAAACTGGCTGCTCTGGGGTTTTGTGGCATTGGAGAAGTCAGAGCAGATCCTGTAGAAACAGACCCCACTCACCCGTCGCCAGGAGAGCAGCGAGGATGAAGACAGCAAGAGAAGCCTTCATGGTGATGGGGAAGCAGGAGATCGGCGCTGGGGTCTCTGGTGCAGCCAGGTCACCAACTGGGGGAATTATCACAGACGGGCTGAAATGAGATCAGAAGAGAGACTGAACAAGATAACAGAGCAAATAAAAAAGCAATCAGTTCGCAAACACCTACAAAATAATAAGGTGATAAGTACGAGTCAGCATGGATTTGTCAAGAACAAATAGTTTCAAACCAACCTGATAGCTTTCTTTGTTAGGGTAACAAGCCTTGTGGATGGGGGGAAGAGGTAGATGTGACTTTAATAAGGCTTTTGATACAGACTCACATGGCCTTCTCATAAACAAACGAGGGAAATACAAGCTAGGTGGAGCTATTATAAGGTGGGTGCATAACTGGCTGGAAAACCATTCCCAGAGTGTAGTTATCAGTGGTTCTCAGTCATGCGGGAAGGGCCTAACAAGTGGGGTCCCGCAGGGATCAGTTCTGGGTCCGGCTCTGTCCAATGTCTTCAGTGATTTAGATCCCTGGTGTTCACACAGCGGGCAGCAGACCGCACACGGCTCCTCAGGGTAAGCCGCTGGTGAGCCGTGGGAGCCTGTTGACGTTGAGCGTCAGCAGGCAGGGCTGCCTGCAGCTCCCACTGCCCGCGGTTCGCCAGTCTCGTCCAAGGGGAGCTGCAGCTCCCCCGACCCACCCACTCTTAAAGTCACAGCTGGGGACCCAAACAGACCTTGATATGCAACCCCCTGTTCCCGACAAGGTGACTCTCAGCTGCACACTTTTAACAGCGGTGGCATCCCATGCCCAGGTCACGGACGAGCCTTCGACCTGCCACTGAAACCACATTTTCCCCTGTGCCTTCTCCGTGGTGGTCAGGGCCTGGGGCCCGGCACCAACACCCCAGGGCCCCCAGCGGGGAGGAGAATTGTGCTGCCCCCTCCACTCTACTGAGCTTGGGTTTTGCTCCCCACACCACACAACAGTAGAACGTCCCCCACTCCCTCGGGATCATTCACAATTCCACAGAACATCAGGCAGCCCAAAACTGGAGGGCTGGGAGGGGAGGGGGAAGAAATTCCCGTTCCCGACTAGAGGCAGTAGCTATCTCTGTGATCTCCCCTCACTGCCATGTACTACGCATGGGCGATTCCCCCCCTTAGGGGGGTGTCAGAACATTGCCAGTGCTCTCCAGCTGCCTCAGTTCCCCCACTTTCAGCAGAGGGCTCAGGCCACCTCCTCCTGCTCTGTTATGTCCCATGTTTTCTGGCAAGGTGGAGGGGACAGAGCTGATTTCCCTGCTCCTGGCTGAAGGAGTCCAGGAGTTTACACTGGAGTCAGCGAGACTCCAATCTTCCATATGTCTCCCGTACATCTCTTTGCACAGGCTGGGAAGAGAACTGAAGCATAACAGTGTTTCCTTTCGCATACAGCCCACCCCCACTGTTGTTTCTCTCCTTTAGCTACCCCCCTTGCATGCTGGCTCTCGCCTTCATTTGCATCCTTATGGGGCTGGGAGCCAGGACTCCTGGGTTTTATCCTCAGCTCTAGGAGGAGAGTGGGGTCTAGCGGGTTAGAGCAGGAGGGTCTGGAAGCCAGGACTCCTGGGTTCTATCCCCAGCTCTGGGAGGGGAGTGGGGTCTAGCGGGTTAGAGCAGGAGGGTCTGGAAGCCAGGACTCCTGGGTCTATTCTTACTTCTGGGAGGATAGTGGAGTCTACTGGTTAAAGCATCCCTACACCAGAGGGGTTTCACTTACCAAATGCTCCTTCGGGGCACCAGGCTGGGTAACGTTTGCCTGGCCTGGAGTACAAGGTGAGATTGTGAACTGGAAAAGATGTACAATCTCTCCGTCATGTCTCTGTGTGTGTCTCTCTCTCCTCCTTTAATAGCCGGGCTCAGGTGTACGCTCTGACGTGAGACAGAAACTCCCCACATTCGTCTTTGGCAGGGTCAATACATTTCTGTTCCTGTTGCCAGTGCTGCCCCCTACCCACAGCCCTGTGAGATCCGCAGGGTACGTCCAGAAGAATGTACCACAGCTAATGGTACAATCCACCCCTGCCCTGCACCCTTGGGTGCCTTCCAGCAGCCTGCCTGGGCCGCTCACAAACAGCTCCCATTGTGTAGGCCGCACCCTGAGTGTGTGTGTGAAACTGCAGCCTGCCAGCCACACCTACATTACTGGCTCTCCCCAGCCTGGGTTATATTGCACGGTGATGCCAACGCACCCCCAGTCCCACCTTCTCACACAGAAACGTGTCCTGGGCTACCCAGCCCTCTCCTGAACAACCCGGGCTGATCGAAAGTCTGCCATTTCATTACAAGAAATTATATGTGCATATTTTATCACCCCAAATGGAGTTTCCCAGACACTTCAGTTCAATCACACTGGCTTATGTAAACAATAAAACAAGTTAATTAACTACAAAGAGGTAGATTTTGGTGAGTACAAGTACTAGGTATAGAAGTCAGAAATGAGTACAGGAAAAACAAAGATAAAACATTTACCAATGACTAACTTAACAAGCTACATTAGACACCAAGCCAGGTTTTTCTCACCATATGCTCACCGCTGGCTGGCTGGATCTTTCAGCCAGAAACCCTCCACCAGGCAAAGGAAGCATCCTTGAACTGGTGGAGGGTTTCCTCACCATGTGCTTCAGCAAGTTACTCCTTCCTAGGCAGCCATTTCCCATGTTGTATGTGTGCAATTGATTGTTCCTTCCTCAGTGGAGTACTTTGCATTTATCCTTATTGAATTTCATCCTATTTATCTCAGACCATTTCTCCAGTTTCTCCAGATCATTTTGAATTTTCATCCTATCCTCCAAAGCACTTACAACCCCTCCCAGCTTGGTATCGTCCACAACCTTAATAATTGTCCTCTCTATGCCATGATCGACATCATTGATGAAGACATTTAAAAGAACTGGACCCAGAACAGATCCCTGAGGAACCCCACTCGTTAGGCCCTTCCAGCATGACTGTGAACCATTGATAACTACTCTCTGGGAATGGTTATCCAACCAGTTATGCACCCACCTTACAATAGCTCCATCTAGGTTGTATTTCCCGAATTTGTTTATGAGAAGGTCATTCGAGACTGTATCAAAAGCCTTACTAAAGTCTAGATATACCACATCTACCACTTCCCCCCTGTCCACAAGGCTTGTTACCCTGTCAAAGAAAGCTATCAGGTTGGTTTGACATGATTTGTTCCTGACAAATCCATGCTGGCTGTTACTTATCACCTTATTATCTTCCAGGTGTTTGCAAATTGATTCCTTAATTATTTGCTCCATTATCTTCCCTGGTACAGAAGTTAAGCTGACTGGTCTGTAATTGCCTGGGTTGCCCTTATTTCCCTTTTTATAGATGAGCACTTTATGTGCTCTTTTCCAGTCTTCTGGAATCTCCCCTGTTTTCCATGACTTTTCAAAGATAATAGCGAATGCCTCAGATATCTCCTCAGTCAGCTCCTTCAGTATTCTAGCATGCATTTCATCAGGCCCTGGTGACTTGAAGACATCGAACTTGTCCAAGTCATTTTTAACTTGTTCTTTCCCTATTTCAGCATCTGAACCTACCCCGTTTTCACTGGCATTCCCTACGTTAGGCATCCAGACGCCACCAACCTTCTTGGTGAAAACCGAAACAAAGAAGTCATTAAGCACCTCTGCCATTTCCACATTTTTTGTTATTGTTTTTCCTTCTTCATTCAAAGTTATATAAGATGGGATTTCACACCCCACCTTATATAGCTTTAATATATGTCAGGAACCCTTTGTTCCAAATGCCATTCCCAGCCCAGTTTGCTGAAAAATACAGGTACCCAAAATGGAGTTCCGTGTCATGTGATATGGTCACATGGCCTTGCTGAGTCATGGCAGCCATTATTTACAGGCTTGCTGAAACATTTACAGGAAGGCTAAGCTCTTCCATAGTTCATTGTCTTTGCTGATGGGCCATCAGCACTGTTGAGTTTCTCCATTGTTGTACCTGAAAGGCTAGCTGTGGGTGTTACACAGAGTAAGCACATATGAAATGCAGATACATAGTCAATATTCATAACTTCAGATACAAAAACGACACGTGCCCAAAAATAGGATAATCACATTCAGCAAATCATAACTTTCCCAATGATTCCTAATATGACTCATCTTGTACAAATTGCATCATAATTCTGTCATAATCATGCCCCCATGATGAATAGGGGGTGTCGTGTCACAACCCCATTAAAGAATTCTAATAGATTGGTGAGGCGTGATTTTCCTTTACAAAAGCCATGTTGACTCTTCCCCAACATATTGTACTCATCTATTTTTCAGCTAATTCTGTTCTTTACGATAGTTTCATCCAGTTTTCCTGGTACTGAAATCAGACTTGACAGCTTGTATTGCCAGGATTGCCTCTGGAGCAAGGGCATCAGAGCCCTCCCAAAAGTTGGAGGCCCTGGGGTCCCTGCCTCCTGAGGCCCTGCCCCCTGAGGTCCCACCCCAACCCCTCCTTTGCTTCCTTTGCCTTTCTAACGTTATTGATGCAGTTAGTAGAGATAAGGGAAGAGAAATGATTTGGGGCTTTGTTTTTATCTTTTCCCTTTTTTGTGAATCATCTCATGCTGGGGTTCTGACAACAGCCAACCTGTTCACACAGGAACCCCCTGCTCCTGAACTGCCAAGATGTAAAGTTCTCACTTACACCCTTTTTCCTGCCGCTTAACCAGGTGATAGTCCATTTGATTTTGTTGACACCGGGCTGAGGTGCTGGCTAGCCTTTTGTCTCTTGGGAAGTGGTCTGATGCTGTTTCCCCACACTTGGAACATGCCTTATGCAGTAGAAAATTATCACTTTACATGCAATGTTGCCACGCATATGTTACCAGGACAATAATATTCAGCAGACTATGAGTTTCACAAGGCAGATTTTGTACAAGATTTATCACAGTTTTGTAAAATGGACGAACGTAAGGGTAGAATCATAGAACCATAGAACTGGAAGGGATCCTGAGAGGTCACCTCCTCCAGTCCCCTGTACTAATGGCCGGACTAAGTAGTATATGCATTTTATTAGATGTGCACATACCATTTCTACGAGTAAAACGATGGGCGTTATATCAGCCTGTGTTGTTGAGGAGAGGGCTGGGCAGCACAGTACATGCATTGCCGGAGGAGAATCTGGGACTGGGGGTGTGTTAACGTCACCGTGCAACATAACCCAGGCTGGGGAGAGCCAGAGTGCAACTCAGGGGTTTCTGGAAGATGCAGTTTCACACACACACTCAGGGTGCGGCTCGCACACTGGAGGCCATTGGTGAACGGCCCAGGTGGGAGCTACTTCAGCAGGGCATTGGAAGGCACTCAAGGGTGCAGGGCAGGGCTGGATTGTATCCTTAGCTGTGGTACATTGATCTGGACGTACCCTGGGGATGTCACAGCGTTGTGGGTGGGGGGCAGTGCTGGCAACAGGAATAGGAAATTTATCAACTCTGCCAAAGACGAATGTGGGGAGTTTTAAGTTTCTAGCTCACGTCAGAGCATACAGCTGAGCCCGTCTGTAGAAAGGAGGAAAGAGACGCACACAGACCACAGACAGATTGTGCGTCTTTTCTGTTCACAGAGCTCGCCTTCTGCTCCACCCTGGGTAAACATTCCCCAGCCTGAAGCCCCATAAAGAGTGTCTGGTGAGTAACACCCCTCTGGTCTACGGATCCTTTAACCCCTAGACATCACTCCACACTCTCTGCAGAGCTGGGAACAGATCAGCAGCCTGGCCTCCCAGCCCCCTGCTGTAACGCCCTGCACCCCACTCCCCTCCAAGAGCTGGGGATAGAACTCAGGAGTCCTGGCTCCCAACCCCGCCCCCATAAGGATTCGGGTTGCCAGCCTTCCAATATTGTCCTGAAGTCCCCTGGGAATTGAAGATTACTCTTTAATGATAAATTATGTCATGTGATGGCACCTCCAGGAATACGTCCAAGTAAAACTGGCAGCCCCAAGAAGGATGCAAACGAAGGCGAGAGGCAACATGCAAGTGAGGTAGCTAAAGGAGAGAAACGACAGTGGGGGTGGGATGTATGCAAGAGGAAACACCGTTATGCCCAGTTCTCTTCTCAGCCTATGCAAACAGAGGCCAGTCTGGAGGGCGACAGCCACCTGCTGCCGTACGGGAGATCAGAGTCTCGCTGACTGCAGGGTAAACTCCCGCACTCCTTCACCCAGAAGCAGAGAAATCAGCTCTTCCTCCTGTTACCAGAGAACATGGGACATAACAGAGCAGGGGCAGCTGTGGCCCCTGCTGAAAGTGGGGAAACTGAGTCAGCTGCGGAGCACCGGCAATGTGACAGCCCCCTAAGATTGGGAAGTGCCCCAGCGCAGTGCACATGGGTGGGTGGGGGTGGGTGGAGGGTAGAGGTAGCTGCCGCTAGCAGGGAGGGGGAATTTCTCTCCCCAGTCTATGGCTGCTGGATGGTCTGTGGCAACATGAGTGACCCAGAGTGGGTGAGAGAGGGAACCTGCTCCATGATGCGGGGAGGAAAACCCCACCTCAGTTCCTCTTGTCCTGGGGAAGGCCTTGACCTTCGAGGAGGGCCCCAGAAAGAAATTTGGCTCCAGAGGTGGGTTGAAGGTTCATCCATACTCGGGAGCTGGGATCATAGCATCATAGAAGATGAGGATTAGAAGAGACCTCAGGAGGTCATTTAGTCCAACCCCCTGCTCAAAGCAGGACCAACCCCAACTAAGTCATCCCAGCCAGGGCTTTGTCAAGCCTGACCTTAAAAACCTCAAAGGAAGGAGATTCCACCTCCTCCCTAGGTAACGCATTCCAGTGCTTCACCAGCCTCCTAGTGAAAAAGTTTTTCCTAATATCCCACCTAGACCTCCCCCACTGCAACTTGAGACCATTGCTCCTCGTTCTGTCATCTGCCACCATTGAGAACAGTCTAGATCCATCCTCTTTGGAACCCCCTTTCAGGTAGTTGAAAGCAGCTATCAAATCCCCCCTCATTCTTCTCTTGCACAACCTGAATAATCCCAGTTTAAGACTGTTTGGGTTGCAAGCTATCACTTTTAGCATTGGTGGGCCAGGGGAGTGGGGTTGGCTGATCTACTGGGAAGTGTAGGACCAGAGACAACCTGGAAAGAACCAGCCTAGACCAAGGTCTGCTGAGTTGTGCATCTTTGCTGACAAGAGCAGCCCGCTTTGAACCCTTTGTTTAGGGAGCAGCCTGCTTTGTCTCTGCTTTTTGGTTCTTACATGTCATCATTCTGGATCCTCATAAATAAGACCATCTTATGCTGCAACCTTCCAGGAGGAGAATATGATGTTTGTCTCTGACTTCTCTGTGTGGGATCTGGGAACATAACAGCCACAAAGGGGTCAGAGGTGCGGCTACCCCAGAACTCTGGCAAATGGCTCTGAGGTCCCATCATCTCCCCCATCACCCCGTTGATTGGATCATTCCTGTGCAGTCTCTCTTCTGATCTCATTTCAGCCCATCTGGGCTAAATCCCCTGACCAGAGATTTGGCTGCACCACAGACCCCAGCGCCGATCTTCTGCTTCCCCAACACCATGGAGGCTTCTCTTGCTGCCTGCATCCTCGCTGCTCTCCTGGCTACGGGTAAGTGGGGTCTGTTCCTACAGGGGCTGATTTCCTAACATGGCCAATGTAACAGAAGCTCAGCACAGCTTGTCCCATGCAGTTCTTTATTAGAGTAGGCAAAAAGTAGCAACAGAATAGCGGGGGACAAATGGGAGCATTTGAATGAAAGCGCATAGGAGTCACAAGTTCCCACGACAACAAATGACAACAACTGAAACAAGTCTGGAGATGGGAGGAAATGTTTATTGTCAAAATCACTGAAAACTGGTGAAATTTCAGATCTGGCCAAAAAACCCAAGGAAATATTTGAAAGAGGGTCTTCCCACATGAGTTTGACTGAAAGGAAACAGATCGCTAACCTCAGTTTCCCCATAGGTAGAGTCTGGCTAATGGCACAGGGCCGTCGTTGTGCGGAGTGCAATGAATGGGTGGGAGTGGAAGGGGATAAATCTCTGTCTTCTCCTGCACAGCGGGACAGAAGACTCAGAGCACTCTCAAGGGCTGTGTGACATCCAGCGTATGTAAAGTTGGCCCCACCTCTGTTAATTATGGGAACGGAATGACAACAAGGACGACCTTTGCCTGCTGCTTGGGAGACGCCTGCAGAACAACGACCATGACAGGTACCTCTCCCCATCTCCGCCTCTCCTGGCCCATCCTCTGCACCTCCTGGGCCACCTTAACTTCCTGAGACAGATCCTCCCGCTCTGCAGGAGGCACCCCATGGAATAACACTGAGCCCCCGGCTGGGTGGAGTTCAGTGGGTGGGGCTCTAGGCTGCCCCTAGGTGTGAACCCAGCTGACCCCACCTGGGGCAGGGTCCAGGGCTCCCTGCTGCAAACCCCTCCCTTGCCCCTGCTGCCCCCGGCGTCCCCGGAGCTACAGCGCCCCCTGGAGGGGGCCCCCGGGGCTGAGCTGTGCAGCCCCCAGCTGCTCTCCCGGCCCCGACCCGTCCTGGGGCTCGTCCCCCGAGCTGACTGCGTTTGCTCCGCTTCTTCCCAGCGTCCCCGGCTGACACCAAACCCAATGGCCGGAGCTGCCATTTCTGCAACTCTTCATTGCTACATCAGTGCATAGAAAGGACCATAGAGTGTGCTGGAGCTGAGACCCAATGTGTCCAGGCTGGTAACTTCCGTTCATTTATTCTGGGTTTTCCTTGTTGTAACAACTTCATAACAGTCCCAGAGTCAGCCCCAGAGACACGATGACTAGCTCAGTCATTCCTTCCTACAGCTGGGACCTTTGGTCTTGGCTTCATGTCCCAGGGGATCAGCAAACAAAGGTGCCCCCTTCCCGGTGTAGCTTCTTAAAGCTGTTTCTGGAATAAGCAGAGGTGGGGAATGGGCATTAACCTCACCCTAGAGATACCCCGGGAAAACCACTTACCACTTGTTGTTCCTAGAGTCCATCCCTGGCTGGCACATGGCTCAGTACAGGCCTTTGGACTCCAGGTCTCGCATCTGTCCCAAACTCCTACCCTAGGACAGGATGCTGTGGGGTCTGCTGGATAAAGACATTGCCTGGACATCAGGACACCTGGGTCCTATTGACCGCACCAGCTCTGGTGTGGCCTTAAGCCAGTGGTTTCCTCTCTCCTTCCTGCCATTTCCCCTCTCACCTTTTGCCTAGGTAGAGTTTAATCTGTAAGCTCTTTGTGGTAGGGTCTCTGTTTTAGTATTGGGAGTCCCTGGCGCGCCAGGCGCTTCACAGACCCCAGCCGAGATCAGAGACCCTCGTTGTGCCAGGCACTGAACAAGTTCATAGTGACAGTCCTTGCGCCAAAGAGCTTGTGATTTACACAGTCAAAGGAAGGCGCAATCTTCCTGTTTTAAAGCTGGGGAAGCTGAGGTACAGAGTGATGCAGTGACTTGCCCAAGGTTACACAGTAAATCAGTGGCAGAGCTTGGAATTGATCCTGGTTTTACAGAGTCCTCTCATGGTGCTTTAATTCGCCATAAAACCTTGTAGAGATCCCACGACTAGCCCCAGCACCGAGCTGCGGCTTTGTCAGGTGAATAGTGGGGCTAATGCAGGTCTGATCCAATCCAGGTGTCGTTGGTGGCCTTTAGATCAGGGCTGCAAGTGAGCTGCTCAAGGAGACAGAATGAGTCTGCCTCAGAGCAGAGGAGAAGGGGGAGGCCATGCAGGGCCAGCAGGCTGGGGGGAGCAGAGCAGCTGGGGAGATGGAGGCTGGGGGGGCCTAGGTGGGGCTCTGAGGAGTAGAGGAGAGAATGGTCATTGTGTCCCAGACCAGCTCTGGCAGTGGACTCTCTCCCCGACACCAATCACGTGCCCACTCCCCCGCCCCTCCACAGGTGTACTTGGCACATCGAACTTCGTGCAGGGCTGCGCTACCGAGTCCTTTTGTGCACTATCAAAAATCGATTCTGGGATCTTCGGAAGGCTTGATCCAACTACGATCAACTGCGCAGCAGCCTCCGGAGGGGCCGGCCCAGCTCTGGGACCCGCCGGGCTCCTCCTTCCCGCCCTCCCTGGGCTCCTCCTGCTGAAGTTTCTCTCCTGATTCCCCACTCAGTGGCCACACCACACTCAATCCCACCCCGGCTGCATGTGCCTGCAGAGGTCAGAGCAGAGGCAAGTGGCAGCAGAAGGTGACCAACAGGCAGTTGGTGGAGCGGTGAGCATCCGGCCAGCAGAAGGGAGGAACAGAACAGATGGCTGGCAGGTTGGCCAGCCGGATCAAGTGCTCAAATGGCGGCGCAAGCAAGGTGCCTTTATCCCCAGGTGGAAGGCGAACTCACACAGATGCACCTCTGAACCCAGGGTCCTCACTGATGAAGGAGAACCACTGAGAGTGGGGTGTAGTGAGGGAGCAGGGAGGGGCACAGGAAAGGAACTTTTGGTTGTAGATCTTAAGAACAGGAGGCGGAAGGCTCTGCCCCACCCACTCTGGGGTGGAGGGGCATCCTGCTCACAGTTTGATGTTTATGAATCCTGCTTGCAGTATTTTCCCTAATTAGTGTCAGGTGACTTCCCTCTTTTCATTAAAAGTTTCTTTCCTATATTCAGACTCTGCTCGTGAGTGGGGAAGTATTGCCTCTCAGAGGTGCACAGGGGTGGTGTGTAATTTTCCCAGGTTACTGGGTGGAAGACAACATCTACAAGGACCAGCTGGACCTTCCTTAGATACCAGTGAGTAGAGAGGACCTCGTAGAAGAACTGGGTGGAGAAAACAGCCTTGCTTTGCGTGATCAACTAATTCAGTTCAAACAGAGTGGCAGGATAAACAAACACAGGGCTACCATGGGGGCCCCTGATTTCAAAAGGGCAAACTGAAGGGAATTAGTTCGGGACGTGGACTGGCCCGAAGAACTCGAGGATCTGAATGTAGGTGAGGCTGGGAATGACTTTAAGTCAAAGTTGCAGAAGCTCTCGGAAGCCTGGGATGCAGGCGAACAATGTAGGGCCCAGATATGCCACCAATACGTGTTGGTCTTTCAGCCACGCAAACATGGAGGGCACCACGTGTGGCTTCTTCTACCATTGGGGGGGGCAGCAAGACGTGTCAGCACACGGTTTTTGACATTGCAACTCCAGTGGGTCGCCATGACGGCCAGGACGAGTACAATGAGACAGAGGAGCCAGCTGGTCCTTATGCCGGCCTTAAGAAGCTTAAAAAGTGGTGAGGCCTAGTAGTGAGGGTGACCTGTAGTACGGAGGGGCAGTCCTGTTAACCAATATATGCTGGCTAGTGTAGATACAGCTACAGCGATAGATAGACAGATATAGATCTCTTGTTAATAATGTGTGCTTTACGCACTATAGCTATAGATACAGATTAGCATGCATCATGCACAAATAGCATTAAGCACAAACATTACAGCAGTTGCGTAACCTAAACTGGCCTCCACCTTTCCTGTGACCCTGCTCACCTGCGCGAAGGATCCCACAGCTCCGTGCGTTAGCTGAAGTTCGCTTTGGCTGAAGGAGACAGGAGAGCTGCCAGGATTAGGGCGGAGGAGTATTGTATCATAGCAGCAGGTCGGGAGCTATTCTCACAGGCCTGCACCGGAGTGGCCCATAGGAAGAGGGCAAGACACCGATTGTTCTACCCTTGTGCAGACCTAGGGGGCTCAGCTGCAATGCAGGTGAGTGGAACGCAGAGGTCAGGGGGACCCCATGGTACCAGGGAAAAAAGGGGGAAAGCGAAGGGTTAACTCTACGTTTGATGGGTGCAAACTGTACTTTGTACCTGTAAACAGGACGAGTATAAATAGATTGTTACAAGGGTGGAACTCTGGAAATCCCCCTTTTTTATAAGGTAAATGTAACAATGTGATGGGATCGTATTGAACATTTCCCCTGTTTCCTTATGGGCTTAGCGCAATAAAGCTAACCGCCATTGGTTATGTGCTCTCTGGGCTACATTTCATAACGACCCAATGGGTGGTCACGTCACTGACTATCAGCGGTACCGGTAGCAGTCTGTGATAGCCCATAATCAGACATTTGGGGATAAAAAACTTGCTTGTACTGTCACGACTCCAAATTTCTGCTCTTCCTCGTGCGTCACACGGTGGCTATTCCTGGCTACTAACGCCTCTTCCCGTTTAAGGAGTGATCGTTTTACCTGCATTCATTGTGCATTGCCATTTACGGAGTTTGCTAAAACACTATAAGTCTCGGGCAAATGCTCTTACCTCTGCGTCACAGATCACTTTGGTAAAATACTATTGAATGGTTGTTAAATATTTAATCATAATCACAGCACCAAGCAGGGTCCTGTTCGCTAATCCATATACATCAGACATACGCGTACCATGTTAATAGTCTGTTATACCCAGCACGAGAGCAGTTATGTTAATGGAAATACAATATTTCTTTCCACAGTGCTGTTCACTGGGGTGTCCCACAACGCCTCGGACCGGGACAACTCCACATTCGGCATAAGTGGGTCAGGAAAGAGTCAAAGCAAGAGACATTTGTCTGATGTCCCAGAACAGCCAACTTTACGTGCAACTGGCTTAAAATGCAGTGTCCATAACGGAGATAAGGAAAGGATCTTAGGAGGCAAATCTGTGCTTTTAGCTAGAAACCCTGCTACACATAGAAGTGCTTTTTGGGGGTGTATTTTTGAACCACCCGTTCTGTGTAAGGTGAATGGAAAACACTGGGAGAAACAAGCATCCCAGAAAGATCAGTCTGGTATAAACTCTTTCCTTTCTGTATTGGCCTATTTTGTCTTCAACAATAAAATTGGCTGAATTTGGTTACTGGGTCAAGGGAACATTTTTCATAACAAACCAGCCATGTAGTCACTGCACTGGATTTTCCCTTCTGAATGGGCGTTTGTTTGACTCACACCCGATCAAGGGAAAGAGTTGGAAAGGTCATTTGGGATGAATGCTGGTGGCTTTCCACCACCTACAGAGGAAAGGACCAAACCACCTTCTCTTCACTGTCTAGATGGTGAGGTAAAGTATCATTATTCTTTATAGTGCTGTATTCATTTGATTAATAATCTTTGATTAAATAATTGCATTGGAGCCTGGTAGGTGACAATCTCGAATCGTTATGAAATTCAAGCAGGCAACAAATTGCAGACCTCAACGTGATTGTCAATAACGGTCATCTGGGCTAAGGACGTATGTTTTCCAACAGGGACTAGGGACAGTCTAAAAATGTTTTATTCTACGTTATAAAGCCTGAGTGAAGAGCTCACTCCCGTGTTTGTCTGGTGCATTGGGGTGGGGTGAGGAAGAATACAAAAAACAATCAGAAAGCCTCAAAACAGGTTAAATAAAATAAGAAAAAAAGTTGGCCGGCAATGGGAAAACACTAAAGAACTGTATAATAAACAGTATTATTGATGAAGGGGCTGCTCTGTCTGCATGAAGAGCGATGAATAAAGCAGCCCTTGGAAATCTGTTTGTCAATGCGTTAAAAAGCAGAGGGGAAAAGATAAAGCGCACACAACAAATCAGGAGCCTCTTTTGTTTGCGCAGGTGGCAAAATGTAACAGTAACTTTGTGCTGGCTCTCGGCGTACAGCACAACGGGAGAACAAAGATACAAAGGCAAACTGCCAAAACCAGGCTCTTGCTGGCCAGCAGGAAATCATGCAACAGCCAGAGGGGGATTAAAGGAGCAAAATAGAGAATTAAAGCAACAAAGAGAGGGGGTGAGTAAATGAAATACCTCCTTGTCTTGTCAGGCACAGGAGTAGGAGAATTTCATGCACAGAGCTGTCGGCAAGCTAAAGAGAAGGGACAGGTCAGATTGTTCAGAACACAGTCTCCAATCCCATTTCCCCCACCTCTGATGGTTTTTTCTCTCTCTTAAACTTATTTGTAGCTATGGTGGGTTTATGCCGCTGCTCCCTCTCTGCTCCCCTTGCTGGCTTTTCTCCTTCTGTGGGTTTTGGAAATTCCCAAATACCTGCCTTCTAAACTTCTTTAATGGGTACCCACTTGGTCTTACCTATTCCTACTGTCTTACATGGTTTCTCTCAACTTAAAGCAACCTGACAGTGTTTTTGTGTAAGGAGGGGGGAGAAAGGAGGTTCTTTCCTCCGTGGCATGTTACTGTCTACAGAACTGTGACTGGTTTATTTTGTTATTTCAAATCATAGAATCATAGAATCTCAGGGTTGGAAGGGACGTCAGGAGGTTCTAGTCCAACCCCCTGCTCAAAGCAGGACCAACCCCAACTAAATCATCCCAGCCAGAGCTTGGTCAAGCCTGACCTTAAAAACTTCTAAGGAAGGAGATTCCACCACCTCCCTAGGTAACACATTCCAGTGTTTCACCACCCTCCTAGTGAAAAAGTTTTTCCTAATATCCAACCTAAACCTCCCCCACTGCAATTTGAGACCATTACTCCTTGTTCTGTCATCTGCTACCATTGAGAACAGTCTAGGTCCATCCTCTTTGGAACCTCCTTTCGGGTAGTTGAAAGCAGCTATCAAATCCCCCCTCATTCTTCTCTTCCACAGACTAAACAATCCCAGTTCCCTCAGCCTCTCCTCATAAGTCATGTGTTCCAGTCCCCTAATCATTTTTGTTGCCCTTCGCTGGACTCTCTCCAATCCATCCACATCCTTCCTGTAGTGTGGGGCCCAAAACTGGACACAGTACTCCAGATGAGGCCTCACCAATGTCGAATAGAGGGGAACGATCACGTCCCTCGATCTGCTCGCTATGCCCCTACTTATACATCCCAAAATGCCATTGGCCTTCTTGGCAACAAGGGCACACTGCTGACTCACATCCAGCTTCTCGTCCACTGTCACTCCTAGGTCCTTTTCCGCAGAACTGCTGCCTAGCCATTCGGTCCCTAGTCTGCAGCTGTGCATTGGGTTCTTCCGTCCTAAGTGCAGGACCCTGCACTTATCCTTATTGAACCTCATCAGATTTCTTTTGGCCCAATCCTCCAATTTGTCTAGGTCCTTCTGTATCCTATCCCTCCCCTCCAGCGTATCTATATCTGGTGATATACTGTGGAGCAGTTTGCGGGATGGCTGGAGTGCCTTGTGGACAGGCTGGTGGAGCAGTTCGTAGGATGGCGGGAGCTGCTGGTGGGCCACAGAGCAGAGCGGAGCTGAGCGAAGGAGGTCGTGGGGTGGCTGGTGGAGCGGAGCGAAGGCCTATGGAGCTGTGGGGCGGTCAGCTTCAGATCATGTAAGGTGCCTCTTACCCCCACCCCCATTTCCACCCAGGTTGGGAAGTAAAGCTCTGCAGATAAACTTTCGAACTCTGGGGCTGCCTTGACCAGGACAAAGACTTTTGCGTCATTGGACTTTGGGTGATTTGGGGTTGCTGGACTCAAGAACCAAAGGGAAAGGACACGCCCCAATTTGCTTGGGGTGGGTTTTTTGCTCACGGGTTGTGTTATGAATCCTGTTGGTGGTGTTTCCCCAACATAATGCCACATTGTTTCTCTCTGTTATTAGAAGGCTTTTTGCTACACTCAGACTCCAAGCTTACGAGAGGGGAATATTGCCTCTTGGAGGCGCCCAGCAGGGGTGGTATAGATTTGTCACAGGTCACTGGGTGGGGGCTTGAGCCGGTTTGCATTGTGTTATTGGAATGGATCCCCTAGATATTGAACCCGGCCCTTGTTGCTGCCAATTCTGACGGGCAGAAGGGTTACACTAAAAATAAAAGGGCTTACTTAAGTATAGTAAAACTAATAATTTTAACTCTTTTTAAGTCCTAAGGTCAAGCATGTAATATCCTTTTCAAGCAACAAAATATAATATGACTTTCAAGCAACAAAATGGTCACTATTGTTTTTTAAATCCTCGCATAACTATTAAACCCTCGCCCCTTTTTCAATATAGCTGTATTCATAAGGTAAGAGCAATGTAAATTGCTGAACGTCAATTCAACTAGTACAATTAAAGTGGCAAAGGAATTAATATAAAACGGAATGAGCTTTGATTGAAAGATTTAAATAAAGGGTCACCTGCCTCATCAATTATTTAGTTTTTGGTTTGTTTTCTAACATGCATTGTTTTCATTCATTGTCCCGTAAGTGGAGCAGCATTCGTCTTGTCCTATACATGTGTTATGTGTTTGTGTGGGTCACATCATTATTTTGCTGCTTCTTCTTGCAACAATATCATCCGTAACCCTGTTTCACAATTACCCTTCCTCTTCCGTGGGCGAGGGAAGCGGGCTCTGTTATTGTCTAGCTACCCCCTGTCTGATAATAACTCGTCCTTGGCCATGGGTACCTCAGAGGAGCGCTTGGAGCTGTCAATAAGCTGGTGAAGCTACCATAAGAGGCTGATCTGAAATGTCACCCAGCCAAGACACGTCTGCTCACTCAGTTTCCTTTGAGAAATTACATTGTCGAGAGACAAACAGACACCAGCTCAACAGCAGGGAGACCGACATTTGCATTCACCTTTGCCTGGCCGTGTATCTGCCTTAAAATCGATTCTAGGCCTTACGGGCCACAGCAGAAATGTTAGACCCGCCTCAGCCAAAGTGGTGCTGGACATCGGACCTCTCAAAGGCAGTTGCTCTTATGGAGAAAACCTGTAACTTCTGCCGCGGTTCTGGTCCCGCCAAACCTCTCCATCAGGAGGTTACTACAAACAAAACCGAGCTATGGTACGCTCGACTCAGCCCAGGACGCGACTCTCTGCTGTGGTGTGCGCACGGAAACGCTTCGCCTCGCCTCGTCTGCACTTGCTTTTCCTGTCTAACTCGACGGGGTTCTGTCCCACCCTGGCAGAATTCCTCCCCTTCTGGAGGAAAACGAAGGAGAAAGAAGGAAATGTCCCTCCAAGAATTGAGTTTTTCATTTTCCACATCAAAAGTTTTTGATGGAAAAATTTGAGCCAGTTCCATCTGTGGCTGCATTTCAACGGGAGCTGGTTGCAGATGGCCTGAGATACTTCAAAAGGTTTTTTCCCCCTGCTGATAATAGCTCCTCTTAATTAATTAGCCTCTTACAGTTGGTATGGGTACTTCCACCTTTTCATGTTCTCTGTATGTATAAATATCTTCTGACTAGATGTTCCATTCTGTACATCCGATGAAGTGAGCTGTAGCCCATGAAAGCTTATGCTCTAATAAATTTGTTAGTCTCTAAGGTGCCACAAGTCCTCCTGTTCTTTTTTCCCAGGGTAGGAATTCAAACTGGCACCTCCCAAACTGAGGGCACTGTTCCCAGCTCTGTTACAAAACCTCCCTCGCTGACCTTGGCCGACAGTTTCCAAAGCAGCCTGTGATTTATGTTCCCCTTCTCTAGGGGTGCTGCCAGTGGCAGAAGAGGCAGGTGCTTGCTGTGAGGGATGTAAACAGGCTTGGAAGGATAAGATTCTCATCGGTAAACATCGATCAACGTCGATTTCACCAGACACACCCAACCCAAGGAATAGATATTTGCAACAAAATCATAAAATTTTCCAACACTAAGAAAAATGCTTGTTGAGAACTTATGAGAGTTTGATTTGAGGCTCTTTGCTTTTGCCTATTCTGACCGGTGATGTTGACACTTTGTGCTTTAACAGTTAGAAAACTTTAACTTTTTGAATCTCAGCATCGACTGTCATTACATCATTATGGCCCCCGTCATTTCCCACAACTGTGAACATTTAAATGGATAAAAATAGAAAAAAAAAGCTTTAAAAACCTTTCAATATTGTCCACTGAAATTTAAAAAAAATAAAATTCGGCCAAGGCTAGATATAAAAAGATTCTTAATTGAGAATTGTCTCTGCTTTGTTTTATTCAGTGCAACAAAATAAAGGGGAAGCGAATCCAGGCGGGAGCCCAGAGCCCCTGGGAGGGGAGAGCAGCTGCAGAGAGGGGCAGACGCAAGCGGCAGGGACGTTATTGAGTGTGGCGTGGCCATTGCACGGGTGGGGATCAGGAGAGGGGCGGCAGGAGGTGGAGCCCAGCCAGGTCTGGGATGAGGAGCCCGGCTGGTCCCCGAGCTGTGCTGGCTGCTTTGCTGGGCACAGAAGGACTCGGTAGCACCTTCATGGCTGTTGCACCTACGTGAGGGTGGGGGGAAAGGAGGCCATCAAAGCTGGACTAGGACACAACGCCCTCCCCCGCCTCAGCTCTGCTCTTGGGAGACCCACCTCGGCCCTGCAATCCCACCATCTCCCCATCTGCTCTGCTCCCCCTGGCCTTTCTGGGCCAGACTGGCCTCCCCCTTGTCCTCTGCCCTGACACAAACTCACTGTGTGTCCTTGAGCAAGTCACTTGCACCCCTGATTTAGATCCCACCGATGACACCTGGATTAGTCCAGCCACTTTTAGCCCCCACCCTGCTCACCTAGCAAAGCAGCAGCTCACTGTTGGTGTCAGTGGTGGGATCTCTATGATGTTTTGTGGGGACTCAAGTCACCATGATGGGACTCAGGAAACCTAGGTTAAATTCCCAGCTCTGCCCCAGCCTCCCTGTGTGGCCTTGGACATGTTTCCTCATGAGGCTGTGTCTCAGTTCCCCCATCTATGAAATGGGTAAAATGCTCCTTCTTTTGTCTGTTTAGATTGGAAGCTCTTAGTGACAGGCCTGTCCCAACGAGGGTCTCCAAACTCAGTCAGGGTCTGTGTAGCACCTGGCATCCCAGGGGCTCCCAATACTAATCCAGGCCCTACCACAAAGAGTTTACAGATTAAACTCAATCTAGGCAAAAGATGAGAGGAGGAACAGAGAGGGAAAGTCACTGGCCCTAGGTCACACAGGAGCCGACGCTGGGAATAGGACCCAGGTGTCCTGATCACCAGCCAATGTCTTTACTCAGCAGACCCCACAGCATCCTGTCCTATGGTAGGAATTGGGGACAGATGTGAGACCTGGAGTCTAAAGGCCTGTACTGAACCATATGCCAACCAGGGATGGACTCTGGCAACAACAAGTGGTAAGTGGTTTTCCCTGGGAATCTCTAGGGCAACATTAATGCAAATTCCCCACCTCTGCTTATTCCAGAATCAGCCTTGTGAAGCTATGCCATGAGGATGGGGCCCTTGTCTGCTGATCCCCGGGACATGAGACCAAGACAAAAGGCCCCTGTTGGAGGAAGGAACGACTGAGCTAGTCATCGGGACTCTGGTGCTGAGTCTGTGACCACTATCAATGTGTAACCACAAGAAAACCCTAGGTGTCAACCCGCAAGACTAGGTGAAAGAAGGTGCTGACTTAGGAAGCGCTGTGGGGTAGCTGACAACTGTGGGCTGTTCAAACCTCCTGCAAAGAGGCGTGGCACTGGGGGGGAGGGGGTTGCCGGGGCTATAGCCACTCCAAAATTTTCCATAGCCACGTCTCCTGGCGCAAAGGGCGGCCTGGTTCCCACCCTTACTTCTGCGCTGCTAGGGGCGGTGGCGCTGCCTTCGGAGCTGGAGGTCCGGACAGCAGCGGCTGCTACCGGCCTCCCAGCCCTGAATGTGGACAATGTCCAGGGCTGGCCTTTCGGGACAATGGTGCTCTGGGGAAACAGGGCAGGGGTGACCCCTCCCCCTTTGGCTGAAGAGTGATGTGGGCAGGAAGAGCGGGGTAGGTGGTGCAGAGCTTCCTGCGGCTGGGGGGGTTTCCTGGAGGTGGGTCTGACCTGGCCCGGGAGCGTCCCATGCTGGGGAAGAAGAAGGCAGGGGGTATATGTATAAAGCAGCCCTCCAATTTTCTGTCCGCCCCCCGCCCCACCGGGAAGAGGTTGTTGTCACCCCTGCCTTAGGGACAAAGGGCAAGCTGACGCCTCAGCCACGTGTCAACCCGGGGCAATGGGCCATTCGCTGCTAAGCGGCCGCTCTTTGGCCTTGTCGACACCACAAAATTTAGTCGGCAAAAGGCAGCTTTTGGCAGCAAAGCAGCAGAGGAGCAGGTGCAATGCCACGGTTTGGGCAGGAAAACTGCCGTCCCCCTTGACGAGAGGACTCGAGCTTTTTGCGGCCCAGTTAAAGCGACACAGTGTCAGCCCGTTATGTCGCCGTAACTGGCCTCCCTCAGGATCCCACAATGCCCTCCACGGCCGCTCCGTTCCCTGTTTGGATCTCAGCTGCCCTGCAGGCCTACGCCCTTCCCGGGACTGCCGACACAATTGCCAGGCCCCTGAGCAAGGTGTGGGGGATGTGGCCCCTGGTCCCCAGACGGGGCGGGGTCTTGGGAAGAAGGGGTGCGGGAGCTAAGCGCGTCAGTGCGGCCCGACCTGCACCGCCCGGCGCTCCAGCGGCGACTGAAGGGGCCCAGGCTCCGGCCGCGGCAACTACCACAGAACTGGCAGGGGCAGCCAGGAGCCCTGGGCCCTTTTAAATCTCCTGGTCCCGGGGCAGCTGCCCCTTTGGCCCTCCCCCCCTGTCAGCAGCCCTGCGTGACAGGGGATGGGTCACTGGATGGCTCCCTGTTCTGTTCACTCCCTCTGGGGCACCGGGCACTGGCCACTGTCGGAAGACAGGACACGGGGCTAGAGGGACCTTGGGTCTGACCCAGTCTGGCCGTTCTTATGTTCTTATGACCCCTCTCCTTTCAAAGCTCCAGGAATTTCTGACAACAATGAAAGCAAATTTTAAACTCAGGTCCTGTAGACTGACATCTTCGGAGTAAATATGACAGTGATGCCCAGCTGGTTTTGCCAGTAAATTCAGATACTAACTGTGTATACCTGGGGGTTGGCAAATGTCCGTGAAATGGCTTCATTCCCCCTTGAACGGCTCTTTGACAGTTTCAGTGTTGTGCTAATAGGGCTGGCAGGTTGGAGGCTTTTTCACTTGTAAGTTACTAGATCCTCTCCGGAGGAAGACTCGCCAGGCTGCAGGAGCCAGCGGTGGGAGCCTACGGGAAGGGTCAGACCAGGGATAGGAAGAGGCAGAAGGGTGGACAATAAGACCCAGGGGTGCCCCAAATTTTCGGGTGCCCTATGCAGCCGTGTATCCTGCGTATGCCTAAGGAGGGCCCTGGCGTGAGGACACACTCTCCGTCAACACACATGCTGTTTCTGTCTCTCTCCCCCCACCACGCTCCCTGTCACATACTCCCCCCGCCTCCCCATTGAAAAGTGGCTGGCAATCTGCCCACGGAAGGATGGGATTGAGACAGCGGCATCCTGTGACGCGGTCCCAGCCCCACGAGGCACTGCAAACCCTTCCCAACGCGCCCTGCACAGCGGGCTGGCTACCTTCCGTGCCCTGCTCCCTGTGGCCATGCGAGAGCTGCTAGCCACCGACACACGGAGTTCAGTCCAGCCGCACAACTTCTGTCGACAAACCTCGGTAGCGCAGACAAGGCCTTTGGCAGGAGATGGGGCAGGGGTGACAAACCTACCAGCAAGACTACATGCAAGTCGACAGGAAAGCGTGGCGTCCTCGTCCACACAGACACGAGAGAAGCCTCAGCAGGAGGATCCCAGCGAGGGCTGAGAGGAAGAGCCCGGCTAATCCTGTGCCAGCCGTCTCGCAGGCAGTGGTGCACACGTCCATGACCGGAACCACACTGTCCCCTGGGACGACATCAAATGCCTTCAGCAGCATGGCACAGTAGGACTTGCTGGTGCAACCCTGAAGGATGTCGAATGGGTCATCTCCACCTGCGTGTGTGTGGGGAGAAAGCAGGCGACTGGCATCGGGGAGCATCTCCACTGCGCAAGCTGGTGTGGGGCACAACGACCCCTGACAAGGGTGACAGGATTAAGGCAACAAGGCAACAAGGATTAAGGCAACTGCCCTAGCCTCATCTGCATCAAAGATGGGACAGGGAGGCATCTCCATGAGCAGACAGAATGGAGAACAGAGATTCCAAGGCAAGAACCGCAGGGAAGCCTGGGACAGGAAAAGCATGGCAGCACTGCATGATGGGGGAG